GGCAGGCAGTAGCTATGGCTAAGACTGGTCTGTCGGTGGACACAGGAGAGGTGGAGTGGGGCCAGTGGAAGACGGGAGACTAAGAACATGGCGAAGGGCTGAGTCAGGCAGTGGAAGGGATGATTGCGGCTGCGGGTAGAAAAACGGTCGGCGCAGCGCAGTACCCGAACCGTCAGCAGCTCTAGTACCTCCAGTGCCTCCAGCTCTAGCGCCTCTAGCACCAGCAACACCTGCAGCACCTCTAGTACCTCTAGCTCCAGGGCCTCCAGCACCAGCAACACCTCCAGCACTAGTAGCACCAGCAGCACCACTAGCTCCGGTAGCTCCAGCACCTCTAGTACGAGCACCTGCAGGACCTCCAGGACCAGCAGCTCCAGCACCTCCAGTACCTCCAGCTCCAGCGCCTCCAGCACCACTGGCACCTCCAGCGCCTCCAGTACCAGCAGCACCTCTAGCACCTCCAGCACCAGTCGCACCAGCACCCCAAGTGCCCGCAGCTCCAGTAGCACCTCCAGCACCAGTAGCACCACCAGCTCCGGCAGCTCTAGTACCTCTAGCACGAGCACGTCCAAGACCAGCAGCTCCAGCAGCTCTAGCACATGTAGTACCAGCACCTCCAGTATCCCGAGCACCTCCAGCAGCACCTCCAGCACCTCCAGCACCACCAGCTCCTGCAGCTCCAGCGCCTCCAGTACGAGCGCCTCCAGGATCAGCAGCTCCAGCACCTCCAGTACCACCAGCTCCAGCGCCTCCAGCTCCAGCAGCACCTCCAGCACCTCCAGCACCAGCACCTCCAGTGCCAGCAGCTCCAGCACCTCTAGCACCAGCTGTACCTCCAGGACTAGCAGCTCCAGGACCTCCAGCACGGCACCTCCAGGACTAGTAGCTCCAACACCTCCAGCACCAGCAGCACCTCCAGTACCTCCAGGACTAGAAGCTCCAGCACCTCCAGCACCAGCAGCACGTACCTCCAGCACTAGCAGCTTCTCTAGTACCTCTAGCACCAGCAGCTCCAGAAGCGGTAACACCGTAACCTCCACCACTAGGACGGCCTCGCTAAATGATCCACTCACGAATCTGTTGCGGCGAGAGCGTCTCAAGTCGACTAGGCTGTCCAACTACAGGACCTCCAGTAGGGTCACCCACGGCTCCACTACCACTAGGACTCGCAGCACCCCCACTGTCAGCACCCCCAGAACCCGCACCACCAGTGTCACCACCCGCAGCTGCACCAGAGTCCACAGCAGCACGCTACGAAGGCGGTGAAGACGGCCGAGGCAAAAAACCTGGGGGGGTCTCCAAAAGAGGAGAGCGGCGAATGGCCGCCGTGTCGTCAGTGGCGGGGTCACCCCCCTCAGCTGGGCCAAAGGAGTCAGAAGAGATCTCCAAAGGCTCAACCAAGGGGGGTGGGTCTACCTGAGACACACCTGAGGGAGCAGGACCCTGTGGGGGGAGGGGGTCTACCAAGGGGGGGACTGGTACCAGGAAGATAGGTGACAGGGGGACTGGGTGGGACGCGTGTGGGTGTAGCCTGTAGAAACAGACCGACTCGTCAAAGGTGACGTCCTGGGAGGAGAACACACGACGCGAGCGAGGGTGGTAAAACTGCCACGGTGGGACCTCGGTGGGGAAGCCCAGGATGGCGCAGCGAAGAGTGCAAGGAGAGAGCTTGCTCGCGGTCGTATCGTGAACAAGGGAGAGTGCGCCCCAGACCCGAAACGCCAACCTCTGCCGTCCAACAGAGTGTGGGCAAGGTCTCTGGCAAAGAGACACAGGGCCAGAGGTTGAGCTGATGCGCGGCGTATTGGACCGCAAACAGACACCGAAAATGGGGAGCAACCGCATGGATGATGGAGGTGCGAGCAACCTCCATCACCAAGCCAATGCGGCGCTCTGCAATCCCATTATGCTGTGGAGAGGCCGAAAGCGTGAACGTCTGGCGGATGCCTTGGTCTTGACAGATCTCCGCAAGGAGGCCAGAAGAGAACTCACCGCCCCTATCAGAGTGTAGGCGCAAGACTGGAAGGTCCCGCCCAAACCGCTCGCGGAGCTGGTGACGAGCAGCGCGGATCCAGGGGATCAAAACACCAGTGACGTCCGCCTTGCTACGCAAGGGAAAGACCGTGGTGTAGCACGAATAGTCGTCAACGACCAGGAGGAAGTAGCGCTCCTGGTCCGTCCCACTGACGCGGGCTGGGCCCCACACGTCCATGTGGAGAGTCTGCAAAGGAGTGGTGGTCGGAGGAAACTCGGAGGAGTGAGGAGCGGCGCGCTGCCGCCCCTCGACGCAAGGAAGGCACGGCGGGGCAAGCGAGCGCCGTAGGGGGGGCAGGGACCTACGGAGGCCAGAGACAAGGAGACGGGAGTGCATGCTGTACAAACGCTGTTGAGAGGGGTGACCAAGTCGGTGGTGCTAGATCTCAGTCTGGTGCGTGAGTACTCTGCACGAGCAAGACACAGCTATCTAGCCTGACAAAGTCACAGGACCTGACGCAGCCACCTGACTTGACGCAGCTACCGGACCTGACGCAGCTACCTGTGCAGACGCAGTGGTCAGTGTGTACAGGCCAGACCTGGGTCTCCGACTGAACGTGGCGAGGTGGGCGCCAGTGCGTGAGTCCGTACAGATCGCCACAAGCTCACCCCCAGGAGTAGTCACAGTGACAAACTTGTCCTGGAGGACATTGTTAATTACCAAGTTCGCAGTGAACGAGGGGAGGTGGAGACCTGCAAGCGAGCCGGAAGGGGCCGTCGGACACGGGAGAACGGTGGAGGCACGTGCTACGACTGGCCCCCCAGAGGGGTCAGCCAGAGAGACCGGGACAGGTGCAGTGAGCAGTGTGATTGTGGTGCAATCATGAAAGAAGCAACTTGATGCGCCTGAGTCAAGTGTGAAAGTGTGCAAGGCCTCAGCTGAGGCAGTACCAGTGGCGGTAGACGCACTAGCACCTAGAGCGGCAGCTGACTCACTAGCACCTAGAGCGGCAGCCGACTCACTAGCACCTAGAGCTGCAGCAGACTCACTAGCACCTAGAGCAGCAGCCTCTACACAACCAGGGACGCGTCGCTGAGAAACACAGTCGTGAAGCCGCTGCGGGGAGAAGGTCTCCTGCTGACGCCGCTGTCCAGTATACATAAAACCAAAACCTCCACCACCAGCACAGGCTCGCTGAACAACCCACTCACAAATCTGCTGTGGTGATAGAGTGTCCAGGTGAGGCAGTGGCTGCTACTGTCCACCCGTGGACGCTGTTACGACTGTGAGAGTGGCCATGACAGGCAGTGGTAGTCAGTAGCAGCGGCGCAAGGGCATGGGTAGCAACTGCTGTAGATGCAGCTGTAGAAGTAGCGGTGGTCGCTGTGGCTGTGGAGGCCAGTAGGGTGCGCGGGCTGCAAGGCAGGGCGGCGCGCAGGCCTACGGGCAGGGCGGCGCGCAGGCCTACGGGCAGGGCAGTGCGATGCATGGGCTGCAGGGCAGCTGGGCGCGCGCTGGACAGGGCAGCGGGGCGCGCGCTGGGCAGGGCAGCAGGGCGCGATGCGCTGGGCTGCAGCAGGGCGCGACGCGCGGGGCAGCAGGGTGCGACGCGCGGGCTGCAGCAGGGTGCGATGCGCAGGGCAGCAGGGCGCGACGCACTGGGCTGCAGGGCAGGGCGGTGTGCGGGCCTAAAGGCAGGGCAGCGCAGCTCGCGGGCTGCAAGGCAGGGCGCGCGGGCCTAAGGGCAGGGTAGCGCGATGCACGGGCTGCAGGGCAGCTGGGCGTGGGCTGCGGCAGGGCGGCGCGCGCTGGGCAGGGCAGCAGGGCACGTCGCGCAGGCTGCAGCAGGGCGCGACGTGCCCTCTGCAGGGCGCAATGCGTGGGCAGCAGTGGGGCACGACGCGCGGGCTGCAGCAGGGGAGCGCGCTAGGGCAGGCAGCGCGCGTGGCAGCAGGGCAACGCGACACTGTGCGAGCAGGGCAGGACAGCGCAAGGGCGCTTCGGGCAGGAACCAGCGGAACTATCGGTGGGCCCTAAAAACTTAACAGGTTTCCTGCTCTGAAACCATGTCCGAATAATCTATGCAGGAATGATGAGTGACTAGCAACAGGGAGAGATACAAGTATGAAACCCTAACTGGGGTTGTACCCTATACTGAGCACCTCATTGTAGCCTAGCAGAACTAGGAACATACAAATATGTTTTGACACACGCGCCGCCCAAGCAGGTAACCTACGGAATATGTGTGCGACTTGTGCCCTACCGTATAAGCTCGAACTTCAATGGTTGGCAATTGAATATGCAATTTGCTTTACGCTTCTTTTAACACGCCATGAGATTGTCGATTACAGGTCGAGCAATGTTCATTTGTGAAAACTTGATGAAAAAAAACCTGAACTTTACCATTTGCACTCTAGGACACGCAGCCTAACCGCCTAGACATATGCATCGTACATGTACTGCTTGTCTGCCACGCTCTCAAAACAGCCTGCAATATGATGTCAACTGCCTTGTTCTGCACCCAGTGGGACTAGTGCAGGCATTTACCCATCTCCAGACCCCCCCTACTGCCGCACCGCATGCTGTGTGATAATTTGAGCCTGCTGTGCCACGGAGAGACGTGTAGTGATTCCCGTCTCGAAGATATGAGCTAACCCGTCATCCCGTCCGATGTGCTATCGGTCGCGCGCAAAGCCATAGAAACTGCCTCATCGGCTGGCTGAACAACCCCACACACGCATAAAAATGTGGGGGCGACTGCAACCCCTCTAAGTGCGGTCCCCAGTCCCGCAGTTGTCCTGTACTCGCCTAGCTGCTGCCACACCTATCTGTACGGGGGTCACTCGTCTAAGCTCAGCATTCCCCTCCTGTTGTGAATCCGCGACGGAGACATCCACCAAAGCCATCAAAGTTTTCTCTATGTCAAGGCAAGTCAGGCCTGGAATGCGGGCGGGTGACCCTATGCGGCTTGTGCGTGTGGCCTGCCTTTCCTTCATTACTGGCTGCTACTGAGCCTAGTCTCTCTATGCCTCCTTTTTTGTCGTCTCTACCCCTCTATCCTCTCCCCCACCCACCTGCCACTTCCCCTCTCCCTCCCTCCCCTCTCCCAAACCCCCTCCCTGCCTATTCCCCACCTCCGAATCCTCCCCTCCTAACCCTCTGCCCCCCTCGCAGTTGTGTCCCCCGCTACCTCCTCTCGCCCCCTCTTCACTACCAAACCCGAACTCGAGAGCGGTATCCCCTGGGCCTGGCGGCTCTCCTGCCCCTGCTGGCTCTCCTACTGCTGTCCCCATCGTCCCCTCTCCTCCCCCCTACTAGCTTGTCCCTCATGCCATCCCCTGTGCCCACTTGCCCCTCGCGTAACCCGACCCTGCTGATGCCACTGTTCACGCGGTATCCCTCCCCACGCCAAGTCCAAACCCGAAGGCAATGCCACCTGGGCCCGGAGCCCCACCTGCCCCTGCTGGCCCTCATGCTGCTGCCCTTGCTGTCCCCTCTCCTCTCCTATACCAGCCGGCCTCTACTACCCCTGCTGACCCTCCAGCTGCTGCCCCTGCTGTCCTCTTTCCTCTTCCCTACTAGCTTACCCCTTTTGCCGCTACTGGCCCTCCTATTGTTACTGTTGCTATCCCCTCTCCTCTCCCTTGCTAGCCTGCCCCTCTTGCTGCGATTGCTGCTGTCCTCTCTCCTCTCCCTTGCTAGCCTACCCCTCTTGCCCCTGCTGGTCCTCCTGCTGTGCTGCTGTCCCCGCGGTACCCCCAACTGTCCCTCGCCGCCCATTGGCCCTGACGGTCCTCCCTCGTGTGTCCGTCCCCCGATCTCCGAGAGTCCATACAAGTGTGGGATCAGTGTGGTGTACTTCACAGTGCCGTAGATAACCGGCGACGCCGAAACGGGGACACTGCATTACATGGTGAGGTACCGTCATTTCGTCGACCGCCGTAAGAACATTGACCTGCGAGGGCTAGCTGGGTGATAGAGAGACCGAGAAAAAAGGCTGAAGCCAGCTACCACTGGGCTTTTGGAATGCGTAGGGAGTCTGCGTACGGCACCGCCATCAACTATGCGCTTGTACGTGCGCCATGAAGGGATGTCAAATGGGCAAGGTGCAAGGGGTCTGTGTGACGGGCATGGAATGACTTCAAGGCCCGCGCCTCCAAGACGTGGCTCACTACTGTGAAAAGGGAATCAGGGGCAACAAAGACACTAGAAAGCCAGGGGGGGGAAGAGAAAGAGGATGTCGCGAGAGAGGCCCTCTAGTGCCGTCCACAGAGATCGATCGATCTGGTCAACATCATCCGATGCGAGGCTCTACATAAATTCTTGCTACACACAAGAAGGGAGCAAATAATGGGTGCGCACTATACCCAAGAGCATGCAAAACTCACAGTGGCAATGCGCTCCATGTGACGGATGCCAAAACCCCCTATGCGTATGAGGAGGAAAACCTGGTCCAGGGCTGCATCGTGAACGTCCTCCCTGTAAGCCCAAGCCCCTTGCACCAGGAGCTGCTGAAAGGTCTCTCTCAACCGCGCATCCCACTGTGCAAAGCTGGCACGTACCGCTGGTGTCGGAGGGACCGTCCTCGCCAGATACTGCGGTTGCGTGCTGACACATGCTGAGAGTAGGTGGGCCGATGTCTGGGGCTGGCGTAGTCTCAGAAGCCATGGCAACACTAGCCCCATCCTCTCCAAACGCTCATGGATTCTCCTCTCCACAAACGCGTTGGACCCCACTGGCACTCTGGTGACGGTGAGTCATCTGCGAGCAACCTCAATCCCCAAACTCGTGAAAGTCTCCACCTCTTTGAAGGTGGCAGAATCTTTGTGGTAAACAAGACACTTGTGCGGCCGGACCGGAAGTCCCAGCTCGCTCAAGTGTCTCACGATCCCCGTGAAGTGGTGTAGCACTCTAGAGGGAGGGCCCAACACATAGGTGTCATCTGCGTATGACCAAAGCTGGACATTGCCCTCAGCTAGTACTAGCTCAAGAGCCCTGCGCTATGTGAGTGCATACAGAAGCGGGCTGAGCGGGTCACCCTGGCGGGTGTCGCGCTCCGAGTGTATGGTGGTCTCTCCCGTACCTGCCCGGTAGTGGAGGTTAGAGGGTGTTCTGTAGAAAAGGTGGATGAAAGGTATGAGGCAGCAAAACCCAGGGCTGGTGTAGAGGGCCTAGAACATAGCGTCTTGATGGAATGCGTTAAAGGTGTTCGCCACGTCCAGCAGAAGAACCACCCAGTCAGGGTTGTCAGCCAAAGCGCGACGAACACCTCTAACCATGATCTCTGTCTCGTAGGTAACACCCACTCCAAACTACTGTGACCCCTGGAAAACTTTCTCCATCCGGTCCCGCAACTGCAGGCAGACTGTGCGGGAACGGATGCTAATCAAAACCTTGCCTATTGCGATAGGACGCACATCCAGGTTCTGTTTCGCGAGAGTGACCAGGGTGGTTGATGCCAATAGCGATCGAGCTGCTGGGGCGCAGTAGCCTCGAAGCCAATGCTGGTTTATGGCAAGCAGGTTGGGGATGCTTGGAGGAAAAGCAAGAAAATTATCCCAAAGATGCTCGGCAACCCAGCCTGTCAATCCTCAGGACGACCCGCGTGGGGCCGTGAAGATGGCTCATCGGAGGTGGTCTATAGTGAGCACGAGGGCAGTATCCTGGAAAGTCGGTAGCCAATTTGGGGTCGGTCACGCTGCGGTGGAATGCTTACTCCACAGGCAGTGCGTCGTACTCTCTCTGTCAGGAGCCGCCTCTGCCGACTCCAAGGACGCACAGGCCCATGAGGTCTCATTGCAAGCCGCCAAAACGCAGGAAACAAGCAATGCGAGGCTCATCCGCCGTGGGGGAAAAAATGGTTGTGTGTGCATGTCGTGATGCCCGTAGAGGAAGGAGTGTACGTCGATGCAGGGCCTCCGAGATGAGCTCCTCTCACTCACCTCGACCAAAGCGGGTGATGCGCACTGCAATGGCGGCCGTGTGTGAACGCTCTGGCGGTGTCGCTGGAGCTAGTAGGAGCGTCAGTGCCGTCGCCATGAGGAAAGTAGGGCCTAGTGCCTCTGGGTCCTGAGAGATCCGCGCAAAGATGGCGACCAGAATGCCAAGATATCCACCACGGACCCTCGGTGGGATACCCTGGAGAGGTCGGGCGTGGGTGCGCTCCGGAACAAAACACTCCGACCAACGCACCGAGTCAAACGTTTGCCGCTGTGCATCTATGAATTGCATCCCTGCAACTCGGGGCTCTGCAAGGGAAGGTATAGTTGAGGCCCTGTCACACAGAGCCTGTGATCTGCAGAATGCGTTGGCAGGGTGGCAGAATGGCGTGTTGTGTCGGAGTGCTTGGCGGTTCGTGAGGGAGCTCAAGCATGTGGGGCGCCTTACAACGTCGCTGTGTCAGTGGGGTCGGCCGTGGCTGTGCCATCCGAACTATTTGCAGAGGCTGCCCCGTTGGCCAGCAAGACACCCGCCGGAACGTCGAGGGTAGGGGGAGATGGGGCATCCCCAAACTGGCTGGGTGAGTGGTGGGCGGAGCCGGGCGTGGTGCTGGGCATCGAGTCGGTGATGGTCGTACACATGAGGTCGGGGACTGTGCGGAGGGTTGTGGAGACAGTGCGGGCCCTCCCTAGATTAGATGGTGTCCTGATGGCGCCTCCAGTATGCCCAACTGAGGACTGCCAGGTGACTCATGCCCAACTCTCGTCGCTGTACCCAGAGTGATAGGTGGGGCTGTTGTTGGGGATGATTGGAGTGAGGCAGGCCGGAGTGGTACACCTACGTCGGCATGTGGAGCATACGGCCGAAGAATTAGGTCGGTCTCCATCGAAGATGGGTGGAAGGGGTCCAGCTGGATGGGGGCGGCAAGAGAGAGGTCCTTGGGGGGGGGCTGCGAGGGCGTGTACCAGTGGGGTTGGAGGGGTGGAAACAGAGAGGGGTGTGCAAGTATGTTGTATGGCCAGCAAGCCGGATACAGCCGCTCTCAAACCCGATGTGGACTCCAACGCCTCCCCGTCTGTAAGGGAGGAAGGATGAGCTGGTTCAGCGAAAGATGAGGCACGCCCTGCCTGGCCATGTGGCTGGGATGCGGGTGGATGTGGCAATGGCCTTAGCTCACCCTCCTGCCGTCTCAGTTGAGCTGTCGGGGGCGGGGTGGGGCTGCCTGCAGTGGTGGGAGGGGGGGCATGGGAGATGAGCGCAACCTCTTCTACCATTGTATCATCCCCAACTCTGGCGACCTCCATCCTAGTGCGGAGGTCGCCATCCCGAGGGGCAACTAGGTGTTGGTGGGGAAGAGCCGTGCCGATAGGACCTCCCTCGTGTGCCTGCAAAGGGGAGAGAAGGATAGGTGATGGACCCATGTGAGGGGGGGCTGAAGCAGGTTGGGTAGAGGGGGTGGAGAGAATAGCTGCTGTTGGGGCAGAAGATGGAGGTGGAGTGTGGAAGTTAAGCATCCACCGCCGTTGGCTCTACCCTTCCGTCGTCAACCTGCATTGGCTTGGGGAGCCGTGGCTGGTTGTGGGGGGAGGGGGGCCGGGGGAGGGGATGGAAGGAGGGGAATGTTGGCACGGCGTGATGACGCAGCATGACACCTCCCTCTGCCCGTGGGACCTCCCGAGGTGGCGGGAGCTGGTGTCAAAGTGGCCGCCGAGCGTTGCTGGTTGTGGCAGGGTGGGTGGGTCACAAGGGGTGCAAGTGGGGGGCGATGGGCTGGAGGAGAGTGGTGGTCAGCACGTGATGCTTGGGGCTGAGAGGGTGATGGTGGTGAAGGTGGTGATGATGATAAGGGTTGGGGATGGGAGCGGAGGGCGGGTCATGTCGCGTGCCCTCGTGATGTGCACTGCTATTTGAGTCCCTCCCACCCATCACCTCTTCCGTGACCTCCTCGGCCAGGCTGCTCTTGCCTTCCTGTACCAAGAGCGGTGGCCCCTGTAGGTGGATCCCACCAGTCAGGGAAAGGGGAAAGGAGGGGGAGTCCCTAGCGGCGGGATGGGGTGCCAGTACTCTCCGCTGTGGAATTGCGTAGCGTGCGGGGCGGGGGGGGGGGGGGAGGGGGGGGTTGGGGAGGGTTGGTGCGGGGGTTGATGTGACTGCACCAAGCGCCTCAAACATGTGTACATTTGCCGGGTGAGGGCGACCCTGGCGGAGGAAGAGGCAGCGGTGGCTGGGAGTTATTAGTTGGAGATCAGGTTTTCTCTAGGAAAGCCCAGGCCTTGGCTGCCACACCTAATGCACGAGAGTGCCTGCGAGGGTGGGGGCAAAGGGTAGGAGCTTCTGGGGGGGAATTGGGTTAAAAGGTGTGGGGCGCGGATGTGTGCACTCTCCGAATGCCCTGCCCTCTCGAGGAGGGCCTCCCCCTCCCTCCCACCCCTGATGCCCCCATGCCCGCTGCGCCCGCACCCCATGTTGGCTCTTCGCTGCCAGCCTCTCCTGCGGCCCATGCCGCTCCATCTGCGGTCTCTGCCGCCCCTATTAGGGCCTCTTCTGCCCCAGTTGTGGCCTCTACTACCCCAGCTCTGGCTTCTACCGCCCCTGCTGGTCGTGCCACAGCCCCACCTGTAGCTTAGATCTTTTTAGAATTCTGAAAAAATCCCTGGTCGTGCCACAGCTCCACCTGTAGCTTCAGCTGCAACCCCATCTGGTGCGGCGGCCGCCGCCCCATTTGCTGCCTCTGCGATCTCTGCTGCCCTTTCTTCAGCAGCCGCTGCTCCTTCTCCGCTGGCTTCCAATACCGCCCCTTCCCTGGCAACCCTCGCTGAGCTAAGCCTCCACCCTAAGCAGCAGCAGGAGGGCCAGCAGGGGCGGGAGTGGAGGAGGGCTTATAAAACTATGTAAATGTGGAACTTCAAATTTGGTCAAATCATGTCCACGGGGGGCCAGATATTGGCACAATACATCATCAACAGTGGCCTTTGTTACTGAATGGAAACAATCAACATCGCCAGCTACCGTATTTCATGGTCGCAGTAGATATACACATAGACCTCAAATGAATGTAAGGGCATCCAACATACACTACTAGCAGATCGATACGGGTGTGTCCTGAGTTGGAACACTGATTCAAACCAAGTTCAGACCCACAGCGTTCACTGTATGCAAAGCAGCAAGAAAAACAGTATGAATAAACCAGCTCAGAGTGCTTTGATTCGAGGTCTCATAATGCTTTCATCCCCACGCCACTGCCACATTATATCTTCCAGCGACACTCGCCCAGTGACAATATCAAGGCAATCTCTCACACAAACCATCTCATCAGATGCACCTCCACTGGATAACACCTGCCCCGCCACTTCCTCCCTCTCCTCCCCATCCGCGGTCTCTGCCCCGCCATCTCCTCCCTCTCGTTGACCCAGTTGACTCAGTTTCCTCATGCTCTTGCTTCTCATTAACATCCCTCCCTTCCACTCCCCTTCCTCCTCCTTCCCTCCTCCCCCCACCTCCCCATCGCTCACCCCATCCTGCACTCCACCCTTCACAACCCCCCCTCCTCCACCCCCCTCTCCGTCCCTTCTCCCTCTCCTCTCACCTCTCACGGCCCAGCACGCAAAAGCCGAATGACCAACGTCATCATAAACCAAAGCCTTTGCACGAATCCCCACTCCCCCTCCTCCTAATCCTGCTCCTCCTGCTCCCTCCCCTGTTCCCCTCCCATCAGTTTTTTCACCCCCCGATCTGCCCCTCTCTCCCCCAAACTTGAGCTGGCTGGGAGGAGGCGAGGGGAGAAGGAAGGAGTTGAGGTGGTGAAGCGAGCGGATGAGAAAGAGAGATGTTTCGGTGGGGACTATAGAGTCAGCAGTACTGCACTGAAGGAGGATGATGGGAGGAGAAGCGTGGAGGAGGGAGGGGAGGGAGAAGAGGGAAATGGAGAAGCAGAGGAGGGGGGGGTTAAAGAGGGAGGAAAGGAGGAGGAAGACGAGGAGGAGAAGGAGGAAGAGGAGGACGGAGAGGGAGAGGAGGATGGGGGTGAGGAGAGCAGGCTCAGCTGTCCTGAAGCAAGAGCAGCCACAACAGCCTCAGCAACACCCCCTCCCAGCTCCTGCCTGAGAATGTCAAGAGGAGGGGGCGGCGACGGGGCGAAGAACCTGGAGGAGAAGCAATCAGAGGAGAGGGGGCCTGCCTCTTGAGAGGAGGATGCTTCTTGATCGGAAGAAGGAGACGAGGCGTTTTCTGAAGGTGTGCCTGTGGGAGCTGCTGCCACTGCTGCTGCTGCTGCAGCAGCTGTGTAAGAGGAGGAGGAGACGGAGAAGGGCGGAGGGACGGTGAACTCTTGGGCTGGTTGGAGAGGCGAAGAAGCAGGCAAGGATGGCGCTGGAGGTGGCATGGTGGAAGCTGGTGTGGCATCAGTTGGTGTGGCATCAGTTGGTGCGGCACCTACCCGTTGCTTGAAAGCTGACGAGTTGAGGAGGTGGGATCGAAGGGCCTGCTTCGCTGCTTCTTTTGATGTCGCTCTGTTGACTGCATCTGCAACAGAGGTGGGATTTCCTCCTGAGATTGCGCTTACCTTTTCTGTACTGGTCACATGCATACCAGCATCACTTTCACCTCCCATTTCACTCCTTACACCTGTTGCTCCTGCTGCTCTTGCTGCTCTTGCTGCCTGTTCACTCCTTACACCTGCTGCTCCTGCTGCTCTTGCTGCTCTTGCTGCCTGTTCACTCCTTACACCTGCTGTTCCTGGTGCTCTTGCTGCTCTTGCTGCCTGTTCACTCCTTACACCTGCTGCTCTTGCTGCCTGTTCACTCCTTACACCTGCTGCTCCTGCTGCTCTTGCTCCTCCTACTGACAAGGACGATACTGATGAGGACTTGGCAGCAGCTGGTTGGCGGTTGGTGATTCCTTCATCAGAATTACCTAATAATTTCACTGGACCCTCTGATGACGTGGCGTTTGGACCCTCTGACGTGGCGTTGGGACCAGCTGACGTGGCAAATGAGCGGGGTGACGCGGATTTGAGGGCGGCAGAGAGGGAGGGCCTGAGGGAGGCAGCAGCAGCAGCGCTGACTGCTGCCAGCTGCTCGAGTGCCCTGCTTCTAGCAACAGCAGAGGCAGAGGCAGAGGCAGAGGGAGTCACAGGAATGAAAGGAGCAGAGGTGGAAGGGGCGGACGGGGCAGAAGCAGCAGCAGTAGGAGCAGCAGTGGCAGACAAGAAAGGACTCTTTGGGCAGTCAAACGACGCTCCGAACAATGCAGCAGCAGCAGAGGCATCACCAGCAGCATCACCAACAGCACCACCAATAGCGCCACCAATAGCACCCGCAGCTACAGCCTCAGCAGCGGAGGCGGCAGCATCATCCGCGGCGGACGCGAGAGCATCAAACAGCAGAGCAGGCGAGGATGAGACGAACCGTGCCGGCCCGCCGATAGCAGGCGTCATGAGAGAGAGAGCGACCACGCCCCGGTTCTGCTCATACCGCTGGTGGTGGGCTATATCGTACACACCGCTCATTCCCAGGAAACAGTAGGGCTGCCTCAGATCAGATTCGCCTATAGACCAGAGGTCCTCTCCCTTCAGAGGCCTCAAAGGCTCGCCTATGGACCAGAGGTCACTTTTGATGCGCCTCAAAGGTTCGCCTGGAGACCAGAGGTCCTCTCCCTTCAGCTCCTCTCCCTTCAGCTCCTCTCCCTTGTCCTCTCCCTTGTCCTCTCCCTTGAGAGAGTGTCCCTTGAGGGCGGGCTGTGGCGATTCTCCCTCCCTGCTGGCGCTGCTGCTGACACTGCTGCTGTCAGCCTCTGCTACAGCCGTGGGTGCTGCTGCTGACGATGCTACATCCTTTCCATGCGCCTGGAACATGCGGCGGAGGGCAGACCTGAGGCGGCGCCACACAACCATGGAGCAGACGTGGGCGCCTGAGGAGTGGCCTGTGAGGAAGATGCGCGAGGGGTCGCCCCCATACTCGTGAATGTGGTCCATTGCCCATGAGAGCGCCTTGGACGTTTCGTGTACTTGGTGGATGGCAATGACCTGTCGGTCAGTAGGGCGAAGAGTGGAGAAGAAGTGGTGGGGAGGAAAGTGGCATGGCGTGTATGGCCCATGAGAGCGCCCTGGACGTTTCGTGTACTTGGTGGATGGCAATGACCTGTCGGTGAGGAGGTGGGATGAATGGAGAAGGTAGGATGGGGGAGGAAGACACTTGGTGGATGGCAATGACCTGTCAGTAAGTAGGGCGAAGAGCGGAGAAGAAGTGGTGGGGAGGGAGGTGGCGTGTATGGCCATGAGAGCGCCCTGGACGTTTCGTGTACTTGGTGGATGGCAAGGACCTGGAGGGCAGTAGCAGGGCGAAGTGAGGAGAAGAGGTGGGGGCGTGTATGAGAGATGGGGGGTTGACAATGCGTGAGGGGTCGCCCCCATACTCGTGAATGTGGTCCATGGCCCATGGGAGTTCGGGTGGCGTTTCTTGAGCCTGGTCAACGCCATGGTCCTGGAAGTGGGGGAGAGGAGGAGGGGTGTTGGAGAAGACGAGAGAGCGGGAGGAGAGACTGAGAAGAGAAGAGGGGGAAGACGACACGGGAGCAGCTCATGTGCTCCCCTGTGTCATTATTCTCAGCAGCAGTTGGAACACATGAGCTGAATAATGAGGATGAGGGGGATACGGAGGTGGGAGGTGGGGCGGGAGGGGGGCGAAGGGAGGGTGTACATGTGACTTACCTCTGGGTAGAGAGTGTACTGAATGGTAACCACCACCGCCCCTGACTGAGCGAATCGGATTGCGAGCGGAGAATACATCCACTTCTCGCCACTCGCCCACACTCCCCCGTGCACAAAAAACAACACCGGCCGCCCCTTGCTTCCTTCGGTACTGCTGCTGTTGCTGCTGCTGCTGCTGCTGCTGCTGCTGCTGCTGCTGCCTGCTGCATTGCTGTCAAGCGTCAGATCTGGTGGCATGTAGATGTCAAGACTGCAGGGGGCAAGGGCAGGAGGAAAGGCACAGGGGGTCAAGGGCAGAACACAAGTGAGATGCAAACAAGGATGCATTGTTGTCAGGTGGCAGATCTGGTGGCATGTAGATGTCAAGAGTCTGGTGAGCAAGGGAAGAAAGCAAGTCACAGAGGGTCGCCATCTAAGTGACGTCTCACACAACAGAATATCAGGCATTGGGAAAACCCTAAGATGGATGCATGGAGAATCGGATTCACACAGTAATCCCTGCCATGCCATTCCCATCATTATATTAGAATCCGCCCATGCGATCCCATGCTCTCATATGCCATCAAATGACATCATGATGTGCCATCACATGTTACCACATTGCCTCCAACTAATATCTCATCTCATCCCCATCCCCATCCCCATCCCCATCCCCATCCCCATCCCCATCCCCATCGCTCTGAGCCAGCGAGCTTCTCGTGTCATCCTGTTCCAAGCCAAGCCATCCCGTCCCATGCCACGTCATCTCGTCCCATGACACGCCATCCCGTCCCATGTCATTTCATCCCGTCCCATGCCATGCCATCCCGTCCCGTCCCGCGCATACGTGTTGCGCGGTCGAGGGCCGTAGCGGATATCGTGGACCACTCGCACGCCGCCATGTGGCAGACCCTGCCACAGCATCGCCTCCATCGACGACGCCCAGTTCCACACTGAAAAACCACGTCATGCCACGTCAGCCCCCACGCCATGCCATGTAAGGCCAGGTCACACCATGCCGAGCAAATCAAGGAGAAAATTGGGCAGCGAGAGGAAAGCAAGAGGCACCGGGGGAGGAAAAAAGGGAGAGGAAAAGGAGAGGTAAACATAATGTTCTTTCAATTACCGCCGGTAATTTTGCTGTTATGGCGTATCACGGGGGGACGGAGAATGTTAGTCAATAGCATCCGAGCAGCATCTCACTTGCTTTGCACTGTCATGTCCCCGTCTCCCTTCCTCCCTGCACACTCCTCCATTTCCCTCCCACCTCTCCCCTCTGTCTTTAGTTCCTTAGTTCCTGCTCCTTGCCCCCATTCCGCCTCACTTCCATCCTCCATTCCTTCCCCATTCCTCCTCCATTCATCCCCCCCCGGTTCTACCTGTCGACGTCAGCTGCCTTCGCATCTTCCGGATCCCAATTGCCGACCGACGATCCGCGGACGAGCTTTCCGCGTCCCCCACTTCACCGCGCGTGATCTCCCCCTCCGCCGCGTCCAGTTCCCCCCCTCCGCTTCCGCTTCCGCCAATGCTCTGCGGACCTTCCAAGCCGCGCTGACTGGCATAAAACACGCTCCTATACATCGCCATAGCATGGAACCCGTACGGTGCGTAACCGAACATCCCGACCATCGCTTTCGCGAACGTTATCGCGAGCGTCGTCGCGACGGAGATGCGCTCCCAGACCGTCGCCTGTCGCAGCACTTCCAGCTGCGCGCCACGTGCCGACTCGACAAACATACTCCCAACCATTCTGCGAGAATCGCTGAATCTTTGAGTCGACTCTAAAACCGGATCTTTGAGTCGACTCTAAAACCGGATCTTTGAGTCGACTCTAAAACCGGATTTTAATCAATTGGAGTCCGCAAATGCGGCAAGGAGAAAGAAAACAGCTGGACGAACATGTGCGACGCGAGAAGTCGCGTACAGGTAGGTGTGCGTCGTGAGTCCACACAAAGGAGCAAAAGAGCAGTGTAACGAGCGGTGGAGACCGGCGTGAAAGGGAAGGAAAGCGGTTGGGAGCGGAGATACGCGAGAGGAGAGGAGAGACTACGGTCGAGTCAGTCCAGATTTTTGCAGCGAGTCCGTTAGTGCGACACTCAAGCTTGATCCAGTAGAAGCACACCTGGTTCTTCTCTCTCTCTGTTTACCAAGAGTCCGTCAACGTTGGGAAAGTCCTGCTTTCTCAGAACCCGTCAACCAGGCTGGTCTTGAATCAAGAGAGATGCTGCTGGGAGCGGCGCGATACAGCGTCGAACTATGTAAGGAACCACGCCGCGTCAATGCGCCAGTTCGACTTGCCAGGCGCTCCCAGCAAGTAGTCCCGATCTGACTCTGCCTCCTAATCTCCCCTCGCCCGCTCCTGAGGCCAACTCTTCAGGTCCCTACAGGAGAATCTATGGGCGCGCATGCATTCTCAAGGACCCCATTCCCGCAGCACGGGGAGGGGTCAGTTACAAAACCAAACCGCGCTGTTTACTTTCTTCGTGCAGTCGCAAACACTGTCGCGACCAATGAAATCCCACCCTCGCATTCGCGAATAAATTCCGGCGGTGTTGTGGGAATTGGGTGTGTGCAGTGCAGGTGTGTGTGAGTGGGGGCGGAAGGCCTTAGCTGCAGCACCAGACGAGTCGATTGCAGCTCTCCTCTCAGCTGAGCTTCCCACAACACGATGTTGCAGAACGCCGATTCGGCACGGCACGGCACGAGGCGGTGCACCGGGTTCCAAAGCTTCCATGGACTCGGGAACCTGGTGCGCTGCATCGTCTCGGCGGCAACCCCCAGGGGCGTGCCAGCACGGAGCGGTGCCTCTCTCCGCCTTGGCACGCGCTACGCCTCAGGGCGTGCACTGGCGAGCCCATGGGCGATGGTGGCAATGTCAACGCGGTACTATGATCCCTAAGGGCGTGCGTGAAAATGTTTTAGGTTCGTAATTTAGGTCTACCTTTAGCTGGTTACCAAGTTCGCCAATGTCGCCGAGACGGCTGGTGAAATGCACTTTAAATCAGAAACACACAAATGCGACCAACAAAAAGTGAACAAGGCTCGAATCTACGCACGAACGTGAGAGTGCACGATGAACCGAACATGTATTATTTTGTGCACGCAAGAGAAGTTGACGAATCGCGCGATTTGTTCGTTCATCAATGAACGCACCATTGAAACCAGGTAAACAGTTCGTCTCGCAGAGCTAGACGAAACCAGGTAACCTAAATAACCTACGAGCGGCTCGGCTCACCCCCTATAAGGTCGAACGTGGAAAATCGAGCTTGGGTGTGTGGTTGTGCTTCAACCGTTTGCAAGACGCGCGGATCGAACTTTTCCATCAACGAAAGTCGAATTTTGTTCACCTCATGTTCAGATGCTACATTTGATATTAAAACGCAAACTTATACCAAAAATAAAATCCCACACGCCCTAAATCCGACGGAGTGGATGATCCGCAAACAACCCCGTCAACCTCCAAGGTTAAAAAGCACCTGTTTGGTACTGGCGAACCCTTGGAGATGGTAGCAATGTCAACGCGTCCAGTATTGACTGCATTCAACATTGTCCTAGGAACTCTATTCAGGAACTCTATTCAAGTGCAATTGAGTGAGAGAGCTAGGATTGCACTATCTAAGCAAGAATACAATGAACGAATGATATATAGCGAAAGTACAGTGGTAATGGTAATGTGTGGAAAATGGGGTGCGCGACGGGCCTGGCGCCTGTTGGAAACAAGTAATTTAACGCTCCTGTTGTGTCGAAACAAACAGACTACAAACGAGGCGAATCACAGCGAAGCAACAGCGAGTCAACCGAAGAGGTTAACAAAAGTAACAGCTGGAGGTTACCCGAAGGTCAAAGGTCAGCGACCTTTGACCTGACATAGCGCGACAGCAAGGACAAACAACTGACTCGGTATTGAGCAGTTGCCCGAGTCGTCGCTGTATCGAACCGCAACTGCATTTACAGTTAGTAAAAACCTTTTATATACTTTTGTAATCATATAAAAGCTTTGTATCTCTCTGCTATTATTAATCTCTTGCTCTCACACACTAGTGCAAGTTGGTTCGACAAATCTAATATACGCTTCCGCAATCACAACATCTCTACCCAAGGTCTTAGCCTTGAAAAGATCATAAGGGTTTTTTCAGCCCAACATGGTATCAGAGCCTCCAAGGCAAGATAAACTATTTTAACTCCTACAACAGCACAAGAGATGGCAACTCAGAAGAAGAGGAGTTCCTCCAACGGATCTCCCGGCACTACTCCTACTCCACCTCCAGCCTCTGGCCTACAGACAGAAGAATACACTGCGACAAGACCAGCTGCGGAGTCTACCGAAACTCCCGCGAACCAGGCAGCAGGCCTCGACCCAGGCATGATGGAGAAATTCTTCTCTTTCATGTCCTTCTACGAGCAGCACCAGCAAACCGCACCTGCGCAATCAAACAACAACGACAACAACAATAGGGTTATTCCAATGAGTCTTGACGGCTCATCCTGTGCGCGCGGAAATAAGCAACAACCTACCTTTGCCCCGTACGAACCTCAACGTGGCTCCATCAGCTTCATGCCATACCAGCCTTCACCTGGACAAGAGAAGAAACTGGACGCGCTTCAGATACAGTCACAATTCGCACATGTTTTAAAACTGCAAACGTCAACTCCTTTCGACGGAAGAGACTTCTATACCTGGCCATTCGAGTTCGAACTGATGATGGAGGGCGCGCAGATTCTCGGATTCTTCAACGGATCCCTGCCATACCCAACACACGGGACGCAGTACGACAAGCAACAGTACACGTATCAGTCATTGATGTCGTATACAATTCTTCTGTGAAACATAACTCCGAACGAACAACAGAACATCCGGTCTTATTGAGGGTACGGCAACTCCGCCGAGCTCGCGTACAACCACCTGAAGGACCTGTATCTGTCAGAATGTGATGTTTGTGTAGCCTGCAGTGGGGTACTCTATAGTGAGTACAGCCCGAATTAGGGTTTGCTATATGTACTGAACTGCATGCTAGTGAAAACCCTCTTTTCTTGTTTCTTGATTCTGCCTAGCATTTCAACATGCTATCAGAGCAGGTCGACCCTCCTGGGTCGATCCTGTGGGTGGGTCCCACCCGATGCTTCCGCTGCTCTATTGCTTGTAGCGCGCCCCGGGCGCGTGCTTTTTTCCTGCCTGCCGCGCGCTCCGGGCGCGCGGCGATTTTTCTTCCCGCCGCGCGCCCCGAGGCACGCGGCGGTTTTCTGCCCCGTCAAACCGTCGCGTCGCCCCCCGTCGCCCGACGCGGCCCGCGCGACCTGCGCCAGGCCCGCGCGCGGCCCGTACGGGCTGCGCCAGGCCCGCGCGCGCCCCGTACGGGCTGCGCCAGGCCCGCGCGCGGCCGGTACGGGCTGCGCCAGGCCCGCGCGCGGCCCGTACGGGCTGCGCCAGGCCCGCGCGCGCCCCGTACGGGCTGCGCCAGGCCCGCGCGCGACCGGTACGGGCTGCGCCAGGCCCGCGCGCGGCCGGTACGGGCTGCGCCAGGCCCGCGCGCGGCCCGTACGGCCTGCGCCAGCCCAGCGCGCGGCCCGTACGGGCTGCGCCAGGCCCGCGCGCGGCTCAGGCAGCCCGCGCGCGGTTCGTACGGGCTGCACCAGGCCCGTGAGCGGCCCGTACTGTCTCCCCCCTTGCCGCACGCCGTCCCCCGAGCTCCTGACTGCGCCCCACCCCCGCTGCTGCCTGCGTTCCTGTGTTAGGGTTTGGGGGTGGAGAGTATGGGGGTGCCGGGTGTGTGTGCCGTCCCCTACTCCTCCTCCTCCTCCGTCTCCCACTGCTGCAGCTGCCGCTGAGGGGGGTGGATGTGTTGGAGCCGTCGGAGTGGTACGAGGGGGGTGGTGTGTGAGCGGTGCTAGAGGTTCAATAAGGGGAGTGTGAAAGGGGTGTGGGACAGTTGGGGGAGGTTGACCGGAGGTTGCCGTTGTGACGTCTGCAGCGCCAGTAGTCCGGGGGTTGAGTACTCCGGTAGCCCAGCAAGCCTGCTGCTGCCAGTCGCCCGTGGGTCTGTTGCTCCTGCTGCTGCTTAGCGCGGAGCCAGTTACTCCTGTAGTCCGGAGGTTGAGTGCTCCGGTAGCCACCGTGCGCGCCGTTCCTGTTGCCCGTGTGTCTGCGGCTTCACCCGTCGCCTTCTATCTTCACTCCTCTCATCGTCTCTCCTCCTCCTCACTTGCCCTCTGTGACTGCCTCTAGCCTTGCTTATCATTGTAAACTGTTGCTTTTTGTACTTGTGCTCAGAATGTGTGGTGACATTGTGATCCACCCTGGGCTTGTTTTCTGCTTTGCCTGCTTGTTGTTTTGATTGTACCCCACTTTGACTATGGGGGTGTGTCAGAATGTGATGTTTGTGTAGCCTGCAGTGGGGTACTCTATAGCGAGTACAGCCCGAATTAGGGTTTGCTATATGTACTGAACTGCATGCTAGTGAAAACCCTCTTTTCTTGTTTCTTGATTCTGCCTAGCATTTCAACAGTATCAAGCAACAGACAGTGTTAATCAAAGTCGTCTCATGGCACAACTGACAACAGTGGAAATGAAACCCGGCGAAAAATGGATGGCGTATATCAGCCGTTGTCGTGGACTGCGCGACAGACTTCTT